CCGAAGAGGTCTGTAGGAAAGTTTCGCAATACACTCAAAAAAGGGAAAAAATCGAAATTAAAATTTGAAGGTGAATTCGCTATTTCTAATGTGAAAAATTCCATAAATGCTGAGTGTTTGGGCGGTAAACTTGGATTGCAAATATATGTTATATTATCTAATGTCAGTTGAAGGACCAATGGTTTCCGCCAATCAAAACCCCTGACTGTTAAACAAGCATTAAAAACGTTATTTGACTGAGATTTGCGCATTTTTTCGAGGGCTAAATGCAACACATAAATTTTTATTCGTGTGAAGACGATTGTTTATTCTCTGTTAAGCTTGGAAAGCTTTCCACGAGCTTCAAAAATCAATTACGAAAACTTATCGCTTAAGGAAATAATTTGTATATATATTTTTAGGCAATAATTGTCAAAACCCATTTCAGAGTATGGCAAAATGAACACTTATGTAGAATTTAAAAAATGGGTTAAGCTTTCAAAACTTCATGAAAAAAGTAAAAAGAGCAACAGCTTTCTCTAGAGATTTAGGATTTTTGGGAAACTGTTTTCATTTTGGCATTTAATACGAGGTGTAAAACCTTCAAATCAATTATTTTTCTAGCCTGGAGAAAACAAGACTTGACTCAGTCAAAGGCCCATTTTATAAACTGATTAAAACTAATCTTCGTCAATGGATTTATTTGCCTAATGAGGCAGTAAATCTTAAATAAACTTGTAAAAATAAAGGAATACGAAGGCTGAGCATTTTCCCACACTACTACTACACAATAAAGACACACTTTTCAATGATTCAAAGTTAAAGATAAGCAAAAATGGTCGAAAATAAACGGATAATTAGCACTAATAAACTTTACATACACTCCTGAACTTTACGTTAAATTTACAACTCAATGTTGATGAATATTTTCACAATGATATATAATTTTCAAAGTGAAAACTTTCAAAAACGTTTATTGAAAGCCTATCAGGACTTTATTTCTGAATTAACAACTGAAATTTAAGGCTAATTCATAAGGCTTTTAACGAGTTTGAAAAACGAAGTTCAGTGCAGAACATTTCCTTTTTGAAGGTGTTAGCCTTAAAATGTTTTTTATGTGGTTTTTTTTTTTTTTTTTTTNTTTTTTTTTTTTTTTTTTTTTTTTTTTTTTTTTTTTTTTTTTGTTTTTTGTACCAAAAAACGTTACTTTGTCTGTCAATCGAAATCTGCAGAAAAGATAAATTTCCACTATCTGTGTACTTTATTAATTTAGTATTGTTCAGACAAAATATTCAACCCTTTTACGAAAATTGAACAAGTTTTCGTGAAGTCATTATTTGAAGATTTCATAACTCTGAAACCAAAATAAGCATTTAAATAAGTATCTAAAATTAAATTTCAGTTGATCTTAGATTCGTAAAGTCAGTCAAGATAAACTGTTTTTGAAATACTTATAGTATTCTCCGAGAAAACTGTGAATAGAAGAAACCCGAACTAGTCCTCATAAGTTATTCGAAGGAGAGACTAAACTGTATCGCAATAAAAATTTAAACTCGTAAAGTCCTCGTAAGCTAAGGTATAATAAGATTTCATGAACCTAAGTCAGTCAGTTTTTGTGTATAAATTATATTTTACAACTAATTATACCATTAAGACCAATTATATGGGGGGAAAAACGAAGAACGAAAGCTGAACTTATAAGAAAGGATAAGTTTTTTAGATTGATTTTAACTGATTTTATATCTATCTAGGTAGTCAATCTTGTGAAATAAATTATATTTTTTAACTACTTATTCTTTAAGAAGAAGAAAAAGATTCTTTAAGAAAAAAAGGATATGAAAATGAAAAGACGACTTGAAGAAATAACTGTCGTTTTACAGGGTGCTCATACGAGGTTCTAAATATTTAAAATAATCTCTTACACATGCGTAAAATATTATTTGCAATGTTTAGAACCTCGCATAATGAAATTTACTAAATGCTTTGGAATCCAAGCAGTGAAAACAGTAAAAAATAATGAAATAAATAGAGGACATTACATGGGCGCGCGGGGATACCAAATTTATCTTCGAGTGTTGAAAAACTTCAATATTCTGTTCATTATATAATTATCCATAAAATCAACTTAACAAGCTTCTTAAAATCATCATAAAAAGTTTTTATTTATAAACTAATAGCTTAAATACACATGGTAACGATATTTTCACGTGTGAAAAAATTTTTAATTAATTGTATTTAATCTAAGATTTATCAAGTCAGTCTTGTGGAATGAATTAGTAATATTCTTATAGTGGTATTTAAAAATTGCTAAAACAAATTTAATAAGATTGATAAGGAATCATTGAATTTCTACAAATGTGTCGTAGTAGATAATTTTATCGCCGTAGGTATGAAAGATAGTAGACTGACGTTTCGGACGTTAGTCCTTCGTCGGAGTCAATCAACGAAGGACTAACGTCCGAAACGTCAGTCTACTATCTTTCGTACCTACGGTGATAAAATTATCCACTACGACACATTTGGTTCAACTAAAAAAACACCGACGCAGTCCAAGCTAGTTCCAAAACTAGTCGCTATCTACTTAAATTTCTACAGGTCGTTTGTGTTTACGGTGAAGTTCTCGAAAAGCATACGTA